TATTAGTCTTTATTATTAAAAAGAAACTGAATATTAGAACAAGGCAGGACTTGTTCATTCAAATCAATGAAAATTGGAATTTATTTAATTGAAATGTCAAGAACTATTCATAATAAACATTAATCTCTAGGATATATAAAGAACTCAAAAAACCTAACCCCCCAAAATAACCCAATCAATAAATGGACTAAGGAACTGAAGAGACACTTCACAGAAGAAGAAATACAATTGATCAACAAATATATGAGAAAGTGTTCAACATCTCTAGCAATTAGAAAAATGCAAATCAAAACTACTCTAAGGTTTCATCTCACTCCTGTCAGAATGGTAATCATTAAGAATACAGGCAACAATAAATGTTGGTGAGGATGTGGTGAAAAAGGTATACTCATACATTGCTGGTGGGACTGCAAATTGGTACAATCACTATGGAAAGCAGTATGGAGATTCCTCAGAAAACTGGGAATGGAACCACCATTTGACCCAGATATCTCACTCCTTGGTTTATATCCAAAGGACTTAAAATCAGTATACTATAGTGACGCAGCCACATCAATGTTTATAGCAGCGCAATTCACAGTAGCTAAACTATGGAACCAACCTAGGTGTTCCTCAAATAGATGAATGGATAAAGAAAATGTGGTATATATATTCAATGGAATATTAGTCAGCTTTAAAGAAGAGTGAAATTATGGCATTTACCAGTAAACGGATGGGTTGGAGAATATCATGCTAGGTGAAATAAGCCAATCCCACAAAACCAAAGGCCGAATGTTTTCTCTAATATGCAGATGCTAATTCACAATAAGGTGGGGGGCACTAGGGAAGAATAGCATTACCTTAGATTAGGTAGAGAGAAGTGATGGAAGGGTAAAGGAGGGGATGTGGAGATAGGAGAGATAGTAGAATGAAACAGACATTATTATTTTATGTATACATGTGACTGCATGACCAATATGATTCTGCAACATGTACACTCAGAAAAATGAGAAATTATATCCCATCTATGTATGATGTATCAAAGTGCATAAATCCATTCTATTGTCATGTATAACTAATTAAAACAAATACAATGTTTTTTTTAAAAAAAGGACTATTCATAATAAAACTCATTTGGTTAGAAAGATATGATTTTACTGGGTATAGAGACATATATTATAAATTGTTTATATACATATATACACATATAAATATGTATGTATACACACACATCTATGTACACATGCACATATATTCAAAATATAATAGTTATTTATCAGCAAGATTCAGCCTTACTCCCAAATGTCTCATTTCAAGGACTGTGAAAGTCTAAAGTCCTCTCAAGGATTCCAGCCAGTTCCTGGGGACTAAAGTCCTGCCAGCTTCAATCTCTTGCCTCTTCTGAATTACTTCATTTCAGATGCCACCCCACAATCTCCAATTTGTGTGATTCTTGTCCCGTGATAATACAGGGACAAACTTTTTTGTTACGAAAATAAAAAGTCACCTTCAAACAAGGAAACTGTGTATGTGGATGATTTTTATGTATGATGTGAAGAATTCTTCACATTTCTTCCCAGAAATGTGAAGAATTTAAAATTGAGCTGTACCTATTTCTACTCTAAAATAGTCCCTTACCACTTTATTTCCCCAATTGAAAAATCCTGCCAGGCTGTATTTTTGTAGTTCATATTTTCTTCCTCCTCCCTCCCTCTGTCTCTCCCTGTCCCTCTCCCTCTTTTTATATCCTGATATTTTTTACTCTTTTTATGGCTCTTTCCCCATCACCAGCAGATTGGCTTTTACTTTGTTGTGAGTTTAAAGCACATTCCCAGGATCTCTTTTTTGCCTCAAGTAGCTAGCTAATTATTTTCTCCAAGATAGTTTATTTCCAAAGAGGAATTCTTAGGAATTAATGTATTAGCTCTACTACATCATATTTAGCCCAATCAGTGAAAAGGTCATTTTCAAATTGTTCTTTCACCCTAATTCAAAAAGTATTCATATGCAATCCTTCACTATCATATAACATTAATAAATTTCCCTTGTATAAACCTTGACATTGACTCAAATCTAAAACTGACATTAGCGCTATGAAAAATTACCTAAAAATTTTGCAGTCTCATTGACATTTATGAACCATGTTTTTAAATTCTGAATTTAACTTTTTTAAACAACTGTTGCATTCAGCAAGTGACTTAACTAGGACTTAGTGAGGAGTATGAAAAACTAAGAATCCTAGGCTTGCTGTGTTCTACAGGGAACCTAGGAGCAATCTGGGCTTTTCCCTTTTTCAGAAATTGCCCCCCCCACCTCCCACAATACATGTTGATGCAGACTGTTAGAGAATGTCAGTTTACAATTGAGAAAGAAAAATAAAATAAATTCTGGTTTAAGATCACTCTTTAGGAAACAGGGTGCTACTGCCACCTGGGGGAAGTTCTTTCCTGCTTCATTCAAGAAAGTCAATGTGCTTGTCAGATGAATGAATCCCATTCATTATCCTTGTCATGTCCACATAGGAAAGACTTTTTGACCCTCTGTCCATGAAGTCATAAGATCTTCTGGATGTTTCCAAGTTCTCTTCACACATATATACACACTTCAGAGAATTTTTTGAGATAAAAGAGAAAATGAACCCCAATATAATCAAGCTAAGTTTGTACATCTTACATTCTATAAGAAATTATTTTGGGAATTATGGATATATACTAAGAAGTGACAAAAATCAAATTTGAAATTTCAATAACAAAACATAAATCTTTTAGAAAAAAAATTTATTTGACTAGAAGTTAGAGTTAATTTTATTCCTTTTCTTAAATATATTATCATTAATTGATAAAAGATTACATGTACTGAGATAATCATGCTAGTGATTCTGTTGATTAGGATAAGGTAATAAATTTCAATTATATGGAAATAATTTCAAGAGTTTTCTTAGAGAATTTTGAATTTATGAACTAAATACCATTATGAAATCAGTATTCAATTATCATACATATATTATGTATCTACTTATTGCAAGTTTTCATGAATTAGTGATATTGGTTATTTATCATGTAAAATGGAAAAAGTTGCCAATGCTATGGAATGTTCAATACTTACCAATCTTGCATTTCTTTATGCTATAGGTAAATTGTAATGAGAAACATATTAAATCAAAGAATTGAATCCTGGGAATAGAAGTTTCAGAAAATATCTATTAAAATTGTAAGACAGAAGTCAGTGCTGATTAGATAAAGACAATCAGTTATAAAGAGGATGTCTGGTAATAGATTAACTAAATTAAATAATACACTACCAGTCTCTGGCTGGTACAATAACACTGTCAGGAGATTAAAGTTCATACCAAAGAAAAACTACACTAGTTCCAGGGAAGGCTGTGAAGAAAGCATTTTCAAACCAAAAAAGGTAAGTGCTACACAGCAAATGGATTGGGTTGCCTAGTCATTTTTTAAAAAATCATGTATCTGACTGAATAGTGAAAAGAAATTAACTCTAACTCAGAGCAGTTGACACAACTGAATGAACTGCATGAGCTGCTGTCAACTTGAGGGATACACAAAAAACAAGTGACTGTGGGAATGTGAGTCTCCTTCAAGGTGTCTATTTTAAGATCTGGAGATATTGGAGTAAGGGGGCATTAGAGAACAAGAAGAGCCTGGAATACTTAAACCTGTATAATAGAGTGATAAGTTATAAGCAAAAATAATAAGTATGCTATACTAAAGTTTCTTTTACTTCTGAATCAGAAGATTGAGCATACTTGGCAAGTTAGCCAGTATCTTTGCTTATCCATCAGTCAGTGAAAATGATTGATGAACTTAAAATTCTGTAAGGGCTTATACTCTGTACAAATGATTAACTGCAATTTCATGCCTTGTAAATAGAGTAGGTTTTCCTGATATTCTCCTCCCTCTTAGCTAAGTTGAAAAATGTGCCAAGCTTTACTTTATCAAGAAGTCAACACTTTGCAATGACCTATCGAAGGGATGATTTACTAATGATTTCAGAAGAGAAATTACAAATACTTCTCATTTTCATCAGCATATAGCCTGGTTGTAAAAAAAAAAAGTCTTGGTAAACAGAAATAGGAATCTCCTTTGACATTATTCATGTTTCATAGGAGACAAGCATTCAGGAAGTAGGGAAAGATGAGTTTTTACAGATGACATGTATTCAGGGAGTGGGAAGATAGGAAGGTAAACGATATTGTCAAAATTTAAAAAAGAAAAAAAGTCTGTTTCTTCCACTTTTCAATTCTTCAATAGTGAGTAATTTTCAAATGCTTTTTCTGGTTTTGTTCCTGAGCTCAAAACCCTGAATATCGATTCCTAAAACAACTAATCTCCTACACTAATGCATTAACATGGTCTTCCTAAATATGTTTTATGTTATCGTCATGAAGTTTGGGTATCCCCCTCCGCCATTTTCCTGCAATTATTACTTCCTCCTACCTTATCTATATTCTGCTTTTCTCTGTCCTCCCACTGTAAACTACCACTGTTATTTCAATCTTCTGTCTTTGCCACATCTTCATTTTAATGGAGTTCTCTTTTGTGCCTTAATCACTATAAAGGAGGGAAAAGCAAAACAAAGGTAAGACAGTCAGCCTCCATATCTGTGAGGTCTGCATTTTTGGATTCAACCAAACATGGATTGAAAATAATAAGAAAAGGAATTGTGTGTGTATTGATCATGGATAGACTTTTTTTCCTCACCATTATTCCCTAAACAATACAGTATAATTTACATAGCACTTATATTGAAATATACATTACAAGTAATCTAGAGGTCATTTAAAGTATTATACTGGAGGATGTGCATAGATTAAACCAAATAATATGCTATTTTGTATGGGACTTAAACATCCATGGATTTTGGTATCCGCATGGAGATCCTGGAACCAGTTCCTCCACGGATACTGAGGGATGACTGCATATGGAATGCTCCAGGTCAGGTAAGAAGCTTTACATTGGGTGAATTAATTGTTTATGCTGTGCCTTTGCTTACCCATAGTGATGACAGACAGCAACAAGATGATTATCAACTTGGCACTCTTTGGCAGGACTCAGAGTGGGAAAAGTTCTGCTGGGAACATTCTACTGGGAAGTACTGACTTCCACAGCCGATTTGCTCCATGTTCTGTAACCACAGATTGCAGCTTGGGCCGCAGTTGTCACCTCCACAGCTTCATGCGTCGAGAGGGGCAAGAGATAACCCTGCAGGTCCAGGTGTTGGACACTCCAGGTTATCCACACAGCAAGCTGAGCATGAGTCACGTGAAACAAGAAGTCAAGAAGGCACTGGCGCATCACTTTGGGCAAGAGGGTCTCCACCTTGCACTGCTGATCCTTAGAGCAGACATGCCTTTCTATGGACAAGAAGAATCTTACCCAATCCAATTGATCCAGGTAATACAAAAATGTAATTATACTAGTGCCACTATTCCTATTTGGAGGACATTACCCTAATAGGGGGAAAAACTTGTTAAAGGAATAGTTTAAACCATAAAATATTAGTCACATAGGAGTAACCAGTAAAAATTACTTGCTTTTCCACCAAGAGTCATTTTTTACGATATCCTTTTAGGGAAATTCAGTAAGTCACTTTACAACTGGATCAAAAATTGAAGTAATAACCTGAGGTTAACTAAGACTCAAAACCTTAAGAACTGCAAACCTGAACGTTTTACACAATGTGGCCCCTGGACTATTGAGCCACTTGTTAAAAATGCATATTCATCCGAGACCTACTGACACAGCTCAAAATTGGGACCTGCATATCTGCATTTTTATAAATTTCCATATATTTCTTAAAAACAGTTTGTTTTCAGAACCACTGAATTTAAATACTGACTTCAACATCAAGGAGACAATCTGTTACAGTTCATCAACAAAAATGTTCATTCACTGCTTTGTCATTGAATATTATTGAGTGCCTGCACAGAGCCTAATGATTGGTACAGACTTGAGACTTACCTTCATAAAACTGTAATCTAGAAGAGACAAATAGATAAAACAAGTCAAATACAACAATGCATTAAGAGCCAATGTGATGTGACATATGAGAGGGGGCTTCATAAGCCTTCAGATCATAATAAATATTCAAAGGAGATCTGTGCATTATTTAAAGGGGAAAAAAACAGGAATGCTTTGTGTGCCTCATCACCTGTAGCATAAGGAACTGCTCCATTCCATCCATGAGAGGACCACAGGGACTTAACATAAATGATATATGCCACCTTTGCTCAGTGGTCCATCCCTGTTTGTTTGTTTGTTTATTCACTATAAATTCCTAAGATGGAGACTTATTCAGGCAGTTAGAGGAGCTAGGTGAGGGGAGAGGTCCATTATGGCCACAGCTAGGAGACAGAAGGAATATACATATTTATTTTATTCTAACTTTATACAGCAAATAAGAGCAAGCCTTGTGTCTACTATTACTAACAATTCCTGGAAACTATTCATTGAACTGTTCCATTCTATTCAATCTCTCGATTCCTTACTCCGGATCCACCCACACTAAGTGCTGGACTTCACTAGTATCACTTACTGAGCTCACTGAAGCCATGTCTGCTAGCTCTGCAGGTAAACTAAATTGAGAATAGATAATAGATATTTTCCATTCAGGTATTTGTATAAATGCTAATTTTCTTTTGATCCAATCTCAGGCTGTGCCAGTGTAGGCCCTGTTATACACAGAAAGATGGGATAGTTTGCTTTAATGATTTTTTTTCTCTTTACTAGTAAAGACAAAAGATTGTTCTAAATGACAGACACACGTTTTGTTTTTCAGTAATTGTGCATGTTTCTAAAATTGAAAAAAAAAAAAAAAAGAAGCCATATGTGTAATCACAAGAAACTAGCGGAAAAAATTAAGGTGACAATAGCAAGAAAAAAAAATAAATAACCCTCATCATCCAACTCCTGAAAAATCAAGGACATGCTGTACAAAACTAAAGAAGAAAAGATGATTGCAATTAAGACATAATATGGAATCTAAGACAGCCCATAAACCTCCCCAGACTATTAAATCCTGCATTTCAAACGGTATTTCTGGTAGAAATCAAGTGATGGGAAACCTGCATCCATTACATCAGTGTAATTTTAAACCGTTTTCAGAATTCATTTAAAGCTATTGCTAAATAAACATTTAGCTTAAATTATAGATGAATGTAATTCAGTAAATGTACAAGCTATTTCTCAAAAGCTACCCTAACACTCTCCATATTTCCTACTAATTTTTCCTGATGTACCTATGCTGAGCCCAAAAGTTATTTTCAGTGATATACATTTTAAATATAGATTTTCTGACTTTAGACTCTAGAATAACATCATAATCCCTAATTTTTATACTAGTTAATTTAATTTATACCCATCTCTGGTCTTTTAGGATAGTATCCAGCATCTGCCTTCCTTAAGTCACTGTCTAACTCAGAAGTTGAAGATAGAGAGGAGATGGAAGGGCAAAGCTCAGAAGTAGCCTTTTTTCCAGAATACAAATCTTTTGTGTCCTGTGTAAACTCAGCAACCAAGACTTAGTAATCCTAAAAGTGTCCCAAGAGACTTGGGAGGCTGCAGATCTGTTTTGGTTTCCACCAGGGTCTTTGGTTGATGGTCTCCAAAGCATGGGCTGGAGGTTTCTGAATTTCTTTCTGAAGGTCCCTCAGCTACTGGTGGCAGCCATCTGTGTGTGCTCACACGTCTGGAACAGCTGCCAGATATCTAAATGTTCAATAGGACCAGCAACTGTTAGGAAGGAGCAAGGAGCTATTAAGGTCTTTGGGTTCACACATATCCTGGATTTCTCTTTTGTCTGATAAGAATGAAGCATCTGCCTTCTTCCTTTTCCTTTACACTTTCCAGGGGTGCTGGTGTCTGTCACGAAAAGGTTTTACAAGGCCAGAGCCAGATAATTGGTCTCTCCTTTTCTGTGCCTCCCCCTTGTCTTCTTGAATATCTTTCCCAATTGTTTCTAACATTTTACAAAAGGGTTCTAGACTGCCAGCTGTGACAATGGAAACATTTCCCAAAATGATCTTTTTTTCTTTATTTATATTAGGCCTTTTATTAATTTATGTTAAAATGAAGGAGAAGTCAGTGAGTCATCTCCCCAAAATTGGGAAATAAAGGGAAGGAATCATCTGAAAGTTTCTGGGAATGTTATTTGAATGTTAAAAGCAAAATCCACAAATAATGGATCAGAGAAGATATAATAAAGTCACTTCAAGGAAAGAGCTAGCACACAGCCAAGGCACTCTAGGAACTGAACCTAGGAATTGGCCAAAGTGCATATTCTTCCCACTGTCATGGTATCATCCATTAGTACTATGTACAAACAGGCTTCGAGTACGAATTTTTGTTTCATAATCAATGCCTTAACTGTTAATGTAGTCCACAAGTAGCTAAATGCAAATACAAAAGTCTCAGACTAATTACTGCCTAAATATACCAAAGACCATGGGCTTCGCTGTTCAATAGAAATTTAATTAAAAACAAGCCTAATGTAGTAACAAGACTTTATGATTTTAGTTTCTAACTTGCAAAATGGGGATAATTTTACCTATTAAAGAGTTAAGAGCATTAGATTTAATAAATGTGACATGCTTAGTGCTGTGCCTAACACAGTAGATTCATAGAAAATGACAAAGCATTACTATTACTATTGTTTTTTCCCAGATTTTGATAAGCACTTATTCAAATGAACCATAGATATGGGTGGAAAACTGGAGGCTAAGAGTGTGGGTTCTAAGTAAGTTATATTTGTGTTCAAGTTTCTACTTAGTTACTTACTTGTTTTGTGGCCTTGGGCAAGTAATTCCTTTAAATGCCATTGGTAAATTTGGAATGATTTCAGTATTTGTTTCACTGGGTTACTTTGGGGATTAATGTCATAGCTGAGATACGGGCACATGGCAAGTGTACAGTAAATTTTACCTCTGGTCACTATTGCTTTATTGTTGGTATTTGTTTTATCCTAATATTAGGACATTTTATTTGTAGAAATAAATTTTGTTAAGTTTTATTTCAATAGACTTCAAAAGAAAATAACAATGAAATACAATCTAAATGACTCTAATTTATAAATTTTTAAAAATCTAGGAAAAAAATATACTAGTTCAGGTTAAATTGAGAAACCCCAATTTTGTGAGAAGAATATGAGCCCAACCTTCAGGGGAACCTTTGTTATGGGACCAGGCCCGCCAATAATGAGCCATGTGGCTTAGGCTAAGCTGCCTAACATCGCACAACCTCAATATTCTCATCTGTAAAATGAGGCAATGAGGATGGAGGCTCTCTAAGGTTGCGTGTTTTCTGAATCTGATCTAATGAGGTCTTACCATTCAGCCTTGGCTCTCCGAGAAGGAAAATGTGGCACTTTAAAGAGGAATGAGAGTAAGGGAATATCATAAAATATAAAAAATGGTCCTTATTGTCCTCCTGTTCCATGATAATTTTTTTTTCCTCAGTTGATGTAATAGTTGGCTTTTTGCAAAGTTTCCCCCTAAAAAGTCCAGATGCTATGATTTCATCAACCACAAACAAATGGGGCAGGGCTGGTGAGGTCCTGGGAAAATGAATATAATTCTTGGAAAACAAAGTTTATATTCTAACTAGTTGTCCCAAAAGGACTAGATGGACTCAGACCCATTAGCACTCTAAAACCAAACAGTTTGTGAATGTAAAATTTCTACCTAGCTTGGTACTGTGTTTAAATTATTAACACCAGATAACTCACAGTAACTTATCTTGCTCTTGGATTTGGGGTGGGAGGCATCAATCAACTGTGATTATTCTTTCTCTGGGTCCATTGAGAACATGTTTGGCCACTTGCATGATTATTCTGCACCAAGTGACACGACTTTCAAATATTCAACTATTTTCTGGCCAAAAATCAATCTAAAGATTAAAAGCTAAATCAACCATTCTGTTCTGTTTTTGGCAGTAATTCAAAAGCGCAATTTCTCTCACAGTTTGGGACATGAGCATCCTTTCATAAATAATTATCAACATGCAAAAACTTCCCAGTGGCTGAACACATGGGTCTGTAAAGTGGTGTAGAGTTTAGGAGTCTATCATGCATAGATGTTCTAACTCGCTTTCCCTGAATGAGACAATGGTTTAAAGAACAAGAAATGTCTGGTGGCAACAGAGAATGTATTGTTACTATGCAAAAAAACAGAAGCCAACAGAATACTGTAAAAATGATATCATTTACTTCAATAAGTACTAACTTAGCAAGACAAGAACTCTATGTTATGGTGTATATCTCAGGAAAGGACTGTTGTACAGTTTATTTAGCATGCATTTTTACTATGGTGATATTTGAAAAATATTTAATGACAAGTATGGTCCAAGCATCAACCAATCAACACCATGGGATAAGTTTAGATAGTGCTCATAGGTGAAGGACAGTGGCTATTTATTAACTTTGTATGTATTTCAGTATTTTAACCATCAGTATGATTATGTCGGTAGTGAACTGATTGAATATCTGATCTGGTTCTAAACTTGAGAAACTTTCAAAGATAAGAATCATCAAGAATAAATAGCTATAATTGTATAGAAATAAAATCCCCATATTGTACAATCCCCAATCAGACTCCTTATGTTGATTCCCTTATCAATTCCTATGCATTTTTCAAGATTCAGCTCAAGGCTTTGTCTCATGCAAGAAACTTCTCCTGATCTTCTATTCTCTACCCTTTAACTTTGCTTCCCACCCCTCCTTAGATGGTGCTAAATATCTACCTGTATAGCATCAACATAATTTATATCACAACACTGACAAGTGCAAACAAATTGAAAGTATTTCTTTCCCATCTGCCTTTCTTTTTCAGCTCTAAGTTTAGTAATTACACAAGAATCCCTACTAGGTATTGAACAAAAAAATGTATTTGTCTTGTTCTACACTGTGTCCTACCCTATAGAACATGCCTAGAACAAAACAGACCCTTAATACATATGTGCAGAAGGAAGTGTAAAATGAGCCATGTGGCTTAAGTTTAAAAAGCACTCATCTGTAGTGCTTTTTAAACTTCAGTTTCCATAAGGATTATGATGCATTTTGTGCAAGCCTCCCAGATTATTCTGAGGCAAATGGCCCAGATTTTTTTTTTAATTGACAGAGCCTACATCTGACACATGTAGCATTTGAGTAATTGTTTTAAACACTGGTATTAGTTGGTTAGGGCTGCTGTAACAAAGTACCACAAACAGGGTGTCTTAACAGATAGGTATTGTCTCTTAATTGTAGAGGCTACAACTCTGAAATCAAGATGTTAGCAAGGTTGGTTCCTACAAAGTGCTGTGAGTGCAAGATCTGTTCCAGGCCCTCTGCTTGGCTTGACCATTTTCATGTTCACATTCCCTATATTTGCATCTTTGTCCAAATTTCTCTGTTTTATAAGGATACCAATCATGTTAGAATAGGAGTTCACCCTAATGAGCTCACTTTAACTAATTATATCTGCAATGATCTCATTTCCAAATAAGGGAGGTCACATTCTGAGGAAGTGGGATTTTGATTCAACATATGAATTTGGGAGAGGACACAATTCAACCCATAACACCATTCTTCATTTACTTTGCAATTCTATGACTCCACTAAAGATCTGTTAAAATGCATTGAATACATGACAAGTTCTTAGACTACCGCTATCGTTATGCCACCATTAGATGAACTGGAATGGTAATATCTTATGGATTCTTAGATTTACACAAGAATTATGTTCTTTAAAAGTTGGGCTAATGAATTTGTGTATTAAAGGAACATAAAAATATATAAGTCGGGTGCGGTGGTGCATGCCTGTAATCCCAGAGCCTTGGGAGGCTGAGGCAGGAAGATTGTGAGTTCAAAGCAAGACTCAGCAACTTAGTGAGGCCCTAAGCAACCCAGCAAGACCCTGTCTCTAAATAAAATGTAAAACAGGGCTGGAGATGTGGCTCAGTGGTTAAGCGCCGCTAGGTTCAATCCCCGGTAAAAAAAAAAAAAAAAAAAAAGAATGTCAGTTTAAGTACTTGCAAAAGTTATTCTGTAGAATCTTTTAGTTGAAATAATATTCCCTGATATATTGACCTTGAAAATTGAACGTAGATTTTCCTGAAACAGAGCTTTTATTTTGGTGGTGGTGGTGGTGGGGATTGGTACTGGGACTTGAACCCAGGAGCTCTTAAACACTGATCCATATCTCCTGCCCTTTTTTTTTTTGGACACAGGATCTTGCTAAGTTGCTTAGGGCTTTGCTAAATTGCCAAGGCTGAAGTTGTAAATGGAAATCTTTCCTTAAGTATAACACAATGATGTCTGTATATATGTGTGTCTCTAGAACTCATGCTGTGTAAGAGCATTCTTCCTCATGCTGTTATATACTTCAGCACCATTCAGACTTGTTAGAGTAGATGTGGGTTTATGACTGTCAAGTTTGCCCAGTACCGTAGACTTTTATCTCTAAAAGTTGGACTTGTTGATGGAATCCTATAGTAGTTTCAGTGTTAGATACAGTTTTTTTCACCATACATCTGTGCATTTTCTCTTTAGGTGACTGAATATTTAAGGTATTTGTGTGCATAGTTAATTCAATTTTTATGAACTGTTGTATCCTGTTAATGCATATTGCTTAGTGACTTCAGTATATCTTACCTGTACTGACAAAACCTAAATAAAGACTTTTATTGTAACTCTTAAAAATAAAAAATAAATTGCTAAGGCTGGTTTGAATTTGTGATCCTCTTGCTTCAGCCTCCTGAGCTGCTGGGATTACAGGTATGAACTACCACACCCAGCTAAACAAGCATTTTTAAAAGAAAGAAATATATAACATTTTACAATATAGAAAAACTAATTTTGAATAGATGCAAGAGAAAATGTTGAAACTATTCCCTGGGAGAGTTGCTCTGAATACGAAAGAGAAAGTGCAGATTATAGGCAAATCCATCACAAAGAATAGCAGAACAAAAGTAAGACTTTAGAGGAAATTACAACCTTGTGTCCCAAAGATTAATTAAACCTCACAACTAGACCCTCAAAATAAATAAACAAAACCCTAAACCTTCTATCTGAGATGATGATGAGATTATAAATGTCAAATTTATTCAAAAGATATTTACTGGAAGTTTACCATGTGCTAGCATCTCTGGCTGATACAGGAATGACATGGACATTGCCTTCAAAGTGTTCATGATCAAGTTTTAAAGAGGAATGAATTAAATAAATGGCTCTGATAAAAGCCAGACTGTATCAGGGGTCGTAATTGGTAATTTTGTGAAGTGTTTCTAATTTTAAATACTTTCTTGCACATTTCTATAGTATTTTCATATTATATTTATATGTCTTTATTCCTTCCTTAATCTCTTTTTCCTTCTTCACTTCTTATTCTTTTCTTCTTTCTTTCATTTTTTCAATACCATAAACTCAATCCTATATTTGTTATGTACATTGACAATAGTTTACCAGTCTATCTCTCCTTTTTTTTAACAATTTTTACACTAGAATTTTTACTAATATGTTGCTACACATCTCTGTATGTCAAATTCTTCATATCATAATGGAGAAAATAACATATTATCTCCCACAAAGAATAATGTTGAACTTCAAAAGAGATAGTACATGTAAAGTACTTAGCACTGAATGTTAGTTGTTTACCCTTCTTTCTTTCGTCTGATTATTAGAGGTTCTGCCTTTTTCTTGTTATGTTATTCCTAGGTATTTTGCATTTTCTTGCTATTATAAACTGGTAGCACCTTTGGAAGTATTTTGGTAATGGGAGTGTTAGGAATGGAGAAATTCCTATTTGTCACAAAGTCATGATTTCACATATCTTTGGAAACATTAAAAAAAAGTTAAATGGTTATTTCTAGATGCCTTTCATATTATGTGAATAATTTGCCACATGCAATTACTTCTGCTTTATATCAGCTTATTTTCACTAATCAAACAAGAATTTATTACATAACTAACTTCCACATATTACTAAACAAAGGAACACAAGTCTTTGATGTTTTTCAACCACATTAGAAGTCCTTCAATAAATTGTGTTTGATTTTAGGCATGTGGACTGAGGATGATGAGGATTACAGTAACACTTTGTAGTTTTTCCAAATCACCAAATGTATTTTGATCTTAGCTTTTCCATTATATGTCATCTGATTAATCAACAGAGTATAACCAGATTATGTAATTTTAAGCCCCATGTAAATGTTTTTAGGGATGATAACACCATATCCTTTAATATATATACATATGTATATGTACAGACTTAATATATATGCATATACACACATATAAAAATTTTAAAGGATTTTTTATCAATAAAATCTTATATATGGGGCTTAAAATTACAAAATCTGGTGGGGATTGTATAAAACAATTCTCTAGTCAAGGTCCTCTGACTTTAAAGGAATTTAGTGGCTCTAACAAAGTCAGATTGCCAGACAAGTATAAATGATTACTGAATCTTATAATTATTCAACATGCAACACAATAAGATACTATTTAATATCAAAATTATATGGATAAATTATAACAATAAATAAAAAGAGAACAAAAGTTTTTTTTCTCTTGAATGCTCATCCATCTCCCTCTATTTGCTTATAATACTGGACCTCATATCAGCTTCCCATTACATGTATCAGCTTTCAGAAATATAATGGCACATGAATCTGTTGGCTCACTATATTGGAACTTCATAACTCCTTTGCTCATTTTTGAGGAATAGATTCCAAAGCAAATAGCCATTTAACTTCTTTTCTCTTTCAGGAACTTCTGGGAGATACTTGGAAGAATTACACTGCTATTCTTTTCACTCATGCAGAAAAAATAGAAGATGCTGGTTTCAGTGAAAATGAATATTTACATGACGCCTCTGATACGCTCTTAACCCTATTAAGTTCTATTAAGCAGAGATATGTTTTCCTGTATAAAAAAGAAAACTTATTTAATGAACAAAGAAGGAAAATCTTAGAAAGAATTGTGGAATTTATAAAAGAAAACCATTATCAAGGTCTTACCTTTAAATAAAATTTAAATAAAAAGAGCATTGAGCATTGGAGACAGAGACCTGATTTCAAAAACTTGCCTTCCTAAGCATAAATGTGGACTTTGAAAATTCCTTACATGGTCAGTGAGTGTACATTTATATAACCACTTTGGAAAACTGTAAGAACATCATCAGAGATTCAAGACTTCTAATGCAAATCCCACAATATAGCAATTAGACATCTAAGTACATAACCAACAGAAAGGTGTGCACTTGTGCACTAAAAGACAGGCATGCACAAGAATGTTCATAGCAGTACTATTCATAATAGCTAAAAACTGGAAACTATCCAAATGTTCATTAATAGTAAATATGTAAATTGTGGCATAACACAATGAGATACCTTACAGTAATGAGAATGAGCAAACTTGACTCCATATCACATTATCAAACAATTGTTCAAACATAATGCTGAAAGACAGAAGCCAGACAGAAAAAAAAAGCACATTCTCTGATTCTGTTTGCATAAAGTTCAAAAAAAATTCAAAAACTAAAGTAATCCCAACTACTCTCTTTCTGTGCCAAGGCTTGGAGGAGTGGTTTCCCTGGGGAATAATGAGCAACAGATGCACTTGAGGTAGCCTCTGAGGTTTGGGTAATGCTGTTTTTTTGATTTGTGAGCTGGCTTCACAGGTTGTGTTCACCTTGTGAAAATGCAACAACAAATGCTTGTGATTTATCTGCAACTTAGCTATATTATATTTAAAGTTTAACAAAATAGTAAAGTAGGGTTCAAGTTTTTAAAAATTAGCTCTACTGCTCACTTAATGCTAGAGAAGGAAAATTGCTTACACTTGTCAGAGTCTGTTTCTCACATGGAATACCTGCTTCATCATTATTGTAATGACTAAATGACTTGGTAAGACAAACATCAGCCATGGTTTTTAACTACATATTCAACATTGTATTTATTGTTTATATTTTATTCTTCTGAAAAGCGTAAGGTGTTGACTTTAGAATTAGACTTAGGTGAAAATATAGTTTTAGCCCTCTTAAGGGTGTGACCTTTTGGCAGCCATATAATTTCCCTAAAACTCAATTTCATCATAGCTAAAGTAGAGTCAGTCTTTATTATTGGAGTGTTTTTACTGTGCTTAGTTAATCTGTAGAAAATGATATATGTGTGTGTGTGTGTGTGTATAAATATATATGATATGCATTAAAAATTTTCTTAGAAATAAAAATAATACATAGAAAATAAAAAAATAAATAAATGACTTGGTACATGGTAAATGCTCAATAAGTGTTACCTTTATTTTTTCCACTTTCCTAAAATCTGTGGTTCCTATTTAGGTTTGGAAACATCAGGTAAAAACTTGGAGCAAGCCCTCTGGCAAGAACAGCATAGCAATTGTGATCAACAACTATAAAGAGAACCTCCTTATCTCCCCCTACCGTAGAAGGCTGGCAACTTTGGTGTACTAGAGATTCTCAGGATGGTTTCAGTGACAGCAGTGAGAATTGAAGGAAAATAATTCCAGTTGATTATAGGAGCCAATTCCATTACCAAGTCAAATCATAACACTTTCATATTTCATGATTACATATGAGCTTTTGCTAAGATATTCACCAATTTGCAAACAGCTTGTTTTCATAAAGGTAATTCATAAGTTGTGTATTTTCCATTAAAAACAGAATTACAACTGCTTGTTATTCTCCTGGAGTAATCCTCAAAAGCCTACTTTTTATGTTCAATATTACTTAAACTCTATTATAGATGGTATTTATTAAATAATTCATCCTTTTCCTACTTAAGTGACAGGTAGATAGCTAGATCTAAATATAGACATGGAGTTTGTTCTCCTGAGTCTATTTCTAGATATATTCTGAGTTCTTTATTCTTTTCCATTATTTATCTTATTTACATAAAAGAATGATTTAAATATAATGGTTTTCTTAATATATAATATCTATATATCTTTATGTAGTACATTATAGTAATTTAATACATGTATACAATGTGTAATAATTAAGTCAGGGTAAAAAGCATTTCCATTTCTTCAAACATTAATTACTTTTAAGTGTTGGGAATTTCATACCCTTCTAGTCACTTTAAAATATATCATAGATTGTTATAACTAATAGTTACCCTACTATGCTAAAGAACTGGAATTCCTCCATTCTCTGTGTTGGTACATTCCTTGATACCTAGGAGGTCGTTTCCCTTATTATTATTGTTTTTTCAAAAGATGTTCTAGGCTGGGGTATACCTCAGTAGTAGAGCACTTGACTAATATACCCTAAATTTGATCCCTAGCACTACCAAAAAAAAATAATAATAAAATAAAAATAAAGATTTTCTGGCTTCTCTCAGACATTCATTCCATACACAGTCTAATATTATCTTCTTAATTTCCCAAACATACGGTTTTATAGTATGTATGTATATATGTGTTTTATGACAAATTACATTCTGTGATATTAAATCCTTTCTTATAAGCATATAGGATATTTCTCCATCTTTGGGATCAAAAACAATTTGGAGCTTTTCATCATAAATTCCCTTGTTTGTTTCATTCCTCGATTTTGGAGGAATTGGGGCATCTATCCTCTGGCTGGCTCTTTATTGCTGCATCAGTGTGTAGATTCCACCAAGGGCATCTGAAGCATAAGAGCCAGATGCTTGTTCCTGAAGGTACTATTATAAACCTTCCAAAGAAGTCTGAAACAGTTAGTATCTCCACCTAGGGGAAGAATTTTGATAATCATGCATAAGAACTTTTTCTATAACCTCCCAGCTCTGTTTATTTTGGTGACTTTGACAAGCGACTGTGTGCAATTTCCCCCCATTTCTGACTGACTTCTGCTAAAGACAATGTTGATTATTTCTCAAGTGGTTGTGTTAGGTAGCTAGCCAACCATGAATGGATGAGCAGGGAAAGGACAACTAGGGGTGACTGAAAGCCACAGGGAACCTTATCTGACAGGCAGACAGTTCAAAGTCTCCCCAAGCCATAATTATACCCCACTAAGATAGACTGTTGTCACACCCTACCAGATAGCCTGGAACCTCACCTATCACTGAAACTATCACAAACCTCAATTATCCTGGCAACCAATATATCAAGATGCTCACAAAGAAAGCTCACTGAGGGTTATTCAAAGGTTGACTCGCTGATTAAGGAGGTAGGAAATTGAGACAGGAACAGGTGGATTCAATTGCCTGAAAAACAACTCTGAGTGCCATGTCAACCTCTCTTTGAGGCAGTCTGTGCAGTTCCTATGCTGTCAGGCAAAAGTTCAAAATAAAACTGGAGGGTACATAGGTTTAGTCAAAAGAAAACAGGTTTAGTTAAAGTCAGCATTGAAGGAAGATAGTGGAGCTATTTTCTGTCTTAAATCTCTATCTTTGGGAGCACAGGGACTCAAGAAGAGGAAGCTCACACCATCCTTCTCTCTTGAGAGGACTCTCTCCCTTCAGAGTGCTCTCATTTTCCGTTCTAATAAACTCACACGTCTGAAATCTTTCTGGCATGATCACAAGAATAAGGGTGAAGAGGGGGGCCTCTGTGGCTGCCTTAGTTTCATAGCAGGCCTCATGCCCAGTAACAGGTGGTCCCCCATAGTTGAAGATTTGTCCAGTTCTTTGATATGATTGATCCCTCATCAGAGGGGAAGTGACAAATTAGGAGTCAGTGTCAAAAGACCCCCTTTTTAGCCAAATTTAAGCAATAAGAGGGTTAGAAATGTAGTCCTTATACTAAGTCCAGCATTAAGGATTTGGACAGACAAAGCAAATACGAAACATTAATAAGAGCAAAGGAAATCCACTCTCTATAGTAGATTTAAACTAATAAACATAAGTTCTTTAGCACTACCATTTTTATCTAGAGAAAACCATTTTTTTTAAAAAAAGTAGTTCCATTCAAAATTTGCATTAAATAATCTGTTAGCTGGAGTCTTTGTCTTGTGCAAACTAAGGTGAATTATCATTTAGGTAGAAAACTCCCCGTATCATATTTTACAATATCTTCAGAATTTGAGGTTTAGGGCTGGGGTTGTAGCTCAGTGGTAGAGTGCTTGCCTCTCCCTTGTGAGGCCTTGGGTTCGATCCTCAGCATCACATAAAAATAAATAAATGAAGATATTTTAAAAATTGGGGGTTTATTCCACAGAATGGTAAAAATTTTGAATGTGGACTATAAGAAATAAAGTTTATTCAAGAATAAAGAACACATAAGTATCATATCCCAAATACATTTTGTAAGACAAGTTGTAAAACAGTATAACTGAGAGAATCTTATACATATACTGAAATTTTTAATTTTTAATTTGTCTGCATATGAACAATGAATAAAACAAGATTTCAACTTATTAACTACAGGGATATGGTTCATGCAATCTAAAATGACTACAAGAAGGGCATGGTGGCACGTGCCTGTAATCTCAGTGATTTGGGAGGCTAAGGCAGGAGGATTGCAAGTTCTAGACCAGTCTCAGCAACTTAGTGAAGCCCTCTGAGAAACAGAAAATCCCGGTGATCTATTTTCAAAATACAATATTTAGCTTTAAATGTAAAATGACTTGGGATGTAAGAAAGGCAGCTGGAGGGGAAAGGAGGATGGAAAGTTACAAGCAGTTAACACTGAGTGTAAAGATTTACAGCCTCTTGACAGACAGGAGATGAGAAGGATGGAGCCTGAGCTGACCAACAGAGATAAACTGTGTACATGCCAAAAGGCCCTCAATCCATGGGGACTTTCCTTCCACAAGGGAACTAAAGTGGGTGGGTACTACAACTAGAGGTATATTTCTTTAAAAAACACATTAGGAGATAGTGATATAGGCTCTGACCAATGTAAGAGGGTAGTCAAGTACCCTCTTTCCTTAATAGCTTAATGTTTCCTGCCAAAGACTGTAAAGTTGGTCCTAATTTATGGGCAATAACCTAGTACCCTTCCACCAAGGATAGAGGCCTAGCAGACTGCCTGCTCCGTGCTCCTGCTTTGGTTTTGATTGCTGTGTGCCATTCTGCATGTGG